ACACACACACACCCACACACACACACACACCCCACCCATGGCTCCTGCAGGCTCCCGGGTGAAACTGAAAGTGAAAGTGAAACTGTCTGCTGAGCTCCTAACACTAGTTCTCACTCAGTGAAGCTCTTTTCAGATTAAAAATACCTTTGAGGAAATGTATTTTCAGATGCCATGTAAACTGCATCATAGCGCACGCTCTGATCTCTGCTGATCCCCACATCATGACGCTGCCACCACCGTGCTTCAGCGTAGGGACTAGAGTTCTCAGGATGTTGCTGCTCCTACTAATGCTGCTCTCCGCCTCTTCCCGGCTTGCCTCGCAGGTCCCACCGATCTCAGCATGAAGTCTGTCGGCACAAACTCCTCCTCCTCGACCACCTCCAACAGTCACGGGCAGGGAAGCGGCGGGGGCGGGGCCTCGGCCCAGCTCAGCCCCCCGGAGGTGACGGCAGTGAGGCAGCTCATCGCAGGCTACAGAGAGTCCGCGGCCTTCCTGCTTCGCTCTGCAGACGAGCTGGAAAACCTGATCCTGCAGCAGAACTGAGCCAAACCGTGCCAACGCCCCCCTCCCCCCAGCCTGTCCATCTCGGTCGCCCTGTGTCTCACACATCCGAGCACACTTTCACACACGGAGACACAATCGTACGCGAGTGATACTTCAGTGAGTCCTGTAGGTATGCTACCTTTCACTCCCCCCCACACATGTTTGTGTATTTGGACAGGCCCGAACATATCACAGGCTGAACAATGTTTCTTTATGCATTTGGTTCACTTTGACCTTAGTGCCCTGTTCTGTGTAGCCATTCATCCCGTCCACTTCATTTATGCCACTGGAAACCTCCATTTGTCTCAGGAAGTGATGATTGATGCGTGTTGGCACACAGACTGAGGCGTCGAATTAGCCGAACCACCGCGACAACGAATTAGCGAGCTAGCGTCATTCTGACTTTTCTGTTTTTCACGCTGTACAGTGGCTCCGTTTGATTGGGCTGTCTGAATCGAGTCGTCTCTTAAGTCCACAGAGGAATCGCTGCTAAAAGATGTGACGGCCGCTGCTCACCTCAACCCATACCGACTGACTTATGCCAAAAAGAAAACGGTATAAAATATGTAGAAGGAAAAAAAAACACGACAATGAGGGTTTGACCAGAAAAACACAACAATCAACGTTGTCAAATTCTGCCTTTTTAAAGTGATTTTTCTGACATTTTTACTTTAAGACTCGTGAGCAAACTGGACTTTCATTTTGGTTTGTTTTAGTTATTTTCAGGTTAAATATCTCATTTTTCATTGCTTATGTATCGGAGGGCTTTTAACAAGTGTGGGTATGCAAACTGAAGTCACAGACGCCTGTCAGGGAAAAACAAATATGATTAATATAATGCTTGGTTAAAAACCAGTGCTACTAGAAAATGGTTTAAAAAAGGGTGCAATATAGAAGATAATTAGCAGTGGTTATTGAAATGAAAACTTCACCACAATCCTCTCCTGCTGTAACAGTAAGGCTGTAAAAAGAATCCCGTGCAGCATTGTAGCCAATGTCAGAGCTGTTGTTCATACTGACCTCAGAACTGAGGCACTTTCCACGTGCTGGGATGGGAAAGGAAAAGGACACTTGATGTTGCACGTTTTGTTTACTTTAACATGTTTTTTGGAGGATTGTTGGGTAAAAAAAAGTGTGTAGTGGGTCTAGTTATGTTTAAAAAAAGAAAAGGCACAGAGAGAAGCTTACATGCATCTGTTGCTGGCAGATGAATGGATGCAGAGTGAGGGCACAAATAGGATGCTCAGACGACGTCCACTCCTTTGCCTGTCCGTCTGTCCGTCTGTCTCTCTGTCCATGTCGTCCTTTCTGACCTCAGCAGTGTCAAACTTTGAGTCACATCTCCACTTTCCTCATCGCATCTGAAAAGAAGCAAGAGACAATCTCTGAAAAAAACAACAACAAAACGATGTAATCGCATCACAGTTTACTCTCCCAGCTTCCTGTTATGCTGTGGGTGTGCGTGCGTGTGTGTGTGTATTCGGCTGTGGTTGGACGACACGCGGGAGTTCTCAAAGCAGATCTGGAGCACAGTCTCAACAAACTTCTACTGGTGAGTCACTCGGCACAAAGCTGCTGTGCGAGTCTGTGTGCGTGGTTTTCAGTTCTTATAGTCTTACTGTTTGTTGCGTGATGCTTTTGTGCATTTTGTGTGTTTGTGTGTGTAAGTGGAGTGACCCAGTTTGTCCAACATCAGTCTGTAAAGACTTTCAAACGGCTGAAACATTCCAAACAATGACAATGACTCTTCAAGCAGCCCTCGGTGGTTTGCACCTTAATGGTTTGTCAGAACTTAAGAGAGATATATTTCTGTGTTTATCACCAATCTCTTTGCTTTTATCATTTTTCTGTTTGTCACATATTTATGTTACTAGCAACACGTGTGTCCTAAAATGACTATATTATGTTCTTTTTTTTTTTAACCTTGTCATGATTGGGCTGCGTAATGTTCACATTTCAAACTGATCATCTAAGGTAAGGTAGGAAGCACTTTAAAGCTCAGGATTAAAGAAACAGAAAACAGTGATTTTTACCTCAGCTTCAGTACAAACACAGAACAACAGAAGACAGTTTGATCACGTCAAAGAACTCCTTATTGGAGCTCAGATTGAACCTCGTTTTTGTACACAGTCCATCTGAGGGGTGTTTCTTAAGGAAAGCTCAGTGCACAACGTTAAATTAGCCGACGAGATCACAGTCTGGTGAAACTGGATTATTGCAAATATACAATCAGCTGCAAGGCAACAGTTATCTACTGTAAAGTGACAAGAAAAGCTCATTAAATCCAAAAGATAATAAATTTAATTCATTCATTTTTCCTTACAGTAAAACCACACAAACTTTATTTCAACATACTTGTGAAATTAAACTAGCGTTCCTGTCGTGACAGAAGTTGTAAATAAAAACCTGCGTGACCTCAGAGTATGTGTTGGAGACGACTCTCAGCTACTACCACAGCAGATTTTAGCTCAGTGTTTGTAAAATTAACAGTTATTGCCGTTTTGTGTTGGTTAAAGGGCCTATGACATGCTTATCCTTCAAATACAAAAAGTCAAAGAAAACATATTTATATTTAAGAAAATTAGCATAATACACATGATTTTAATCATTTTGTCTCATAACTGGCATATTTTCTCTTGAATTTGGCTCAGGTGAAACAGGAAGTGACATCAAAGGGGAACTCTTTTAGTCTTTGTTAAATGAAACAATCTTATTTAAACTCTTCTTCATCTCTGATAGTGACTCAAAAAGAAACATCAGATTCTTCTCTAATTATTTTAGCATCACTCTGTTTACATGTAGATATTCCCCTTTGACATCACTTCCTGTTTCTTCACATGCAAATATCTCAACAACTGTTCATCTCAATGTCGTGAAATTTGTTTTGCAATATTTTCTCAATGTTCTCTTTCCAAAAATGCATTCACATTTATTACAAAAATTTGATGTCACGGGCCCTTTAAAACTGATTTGCTGTGACGGCCATCTTGAATTGAGTTGACTCTAAAAATGAATCAGCTGTAGGAGTGCACAAAATGACCACTTTCTGTTTCTTATTAACCTCTGTTCACTGGTTCATGAGTTATTTTACTAACACAACAAGCAAACACATGAAAACTCACCTGCCTTTCATGATGGTGGCTAATAATTAACATGTTACCCAAATTTTCCTAAATTTTAGTCTAAACTTAGAACAAAAACAGAAACATCACAATTTCCCTCCTAAAAATGAATACGTGAAGCATGTCTGTGCCTAGAAAATGTGATTTTGGAACATTTTCAGTGAGTTGATGTGATCACGATTAAAACATTAAGTTTGTGTGGTTTGTCTGTAAGGATGTTGCTGTATTTAAGGTTTAAATTATGGCGCAGGTAGTTCTGTTTTGTGATCAACCTGTAACACACGATAAGCTAGTAACAGTTTGTTTCAAATGTAGTTATTATCAGTATGAGTCGACACTTATTTTAAATTGAAACTGGATGTAGCTGGCAGCAGTTAACGCTGTAAATCCCCACAAATCCACTGAAGACGTCTGACATATTGAACCAAACATGAAGCCCGACAGCAGACAGACGTAAGCACGTTGGAGCATTCAGCAGTTAAACAGGAAATACTTATTTTCAAGATTTTTAGAGCACAATTCATCAAGTAACTCTTATTTAATGAGGAACTATCCTGCTCTTTGTTGGTATAGGTTTTTTATATACAGGATGTAAAGTCTGCAAACAGCCTCTAACAGGAAACAGTTTCAAGCATTTTGTTATAGTTGGGTTTCTCTATTCTTTATTTAATTACAACATTATACTAAATATTTTTATAATTTCAGTCTGCTTGGTGCTTCAGTTCACCTCACAGAAAAACTGAGCCCCATTCTTGTATGTTAGCATTTATGTTCAACAAGCAGAGTGGGGTTCTATAGAAAGCTTATGAACAAGTAATATCTTACCTGCGGTGGTTAGCTCTTAGGAGGAGCACTATCAGTAGAGTTTAATTCTGATTGGAGGGAGGAGCTAATGACTAGCTCGAGCGGGATCAAGGCTGATTTGGAGTGCTGCGGTTTTAAAACAGCTCAAGTTTTTTTAGTGTTTAATTTGATCATTGTATTAACCTTTACACTGTCAGTTTAACATCACACAGAAATAACATGGCATCCCAGCCAGAATACCTCACATGAGAGGTTAGCTATACAGTGGTTTGCAAAAGTATTCATACCCCTTGAACTTTTCCATATTTTGTCACATTACAACCACAAACATAAATATATTTCACTGGAATTTAATGTGAAAGACCAACACAAAGTGGTATACAATTGTGAAGTGGAAGCAAAATTTTACATGAATCAAAACATTTTTTACAAATAAAAAACTGAAAAGTGCGATGTGCAAAATTATTCAGCCCCCCTGAGTCAATACTTTGTGGAGCCACCTTTTGCTGCAATTACAGCTGCAAGTCTTTTARGGCATGTCTCCACCAGCTTTGCACATCTAGTGACTGCAATTCTTGCCCATTCCTCCTTGCAAAACAGCTCAAGCTCAGTCAGATTGGATGGAGAGCGTTTGTGAACAGCAGTTTTGAGATCTTGCCACAAATTCTCAATTGGGTTTAGGTCTGGACTTTGACTGGGCCATTCTAACACATGAAGATTCTTTTTTTTAAACCACTCCATTGTAGCTTTGGCTTTATGTTTAGGGTCGTTGTCCTGCTGGAAGGTGAACCTCCGCCCCAGTCTCAAATCTTTTGCTGACTCCAACAGGTTTTCTTCCAAGATTGCCCTGTATTTGGCTCCATCCATCTTCCCATCAACTTTGACCAACTTCCCGGTCCCTGCTGAAGAGAAGCACCCCCAGAGCATGATGCTGCCACCACCATATTTGACAGTGGGGATGGTGTTTTCAGAGTGATGTGCAGTGTTCTTTCTCCGCCACACATAGCGTTTTGCATTGTGGCCAAAAAGTTCAATTTTGGTCTCGTCTGACCAAAGCACCTTCTTCCACATGTTTGCTGTGTCCTCAACATGGCTTCTGGCAAACTGCAAACGGGACTTCTTATGGTTGTCTTTTAACAATGGCTTTCTCCTTGCCACTCTTCCATAAAGACCACATTTGTGTAGTGCACGACTAATTGTTGTCCTGTGGACAGTTTCCCCCACCTGAGCTGTGGCTCTCTGCATTTCATCCAGAGTCACCATGGGCCTCTTGGCTGCCTCTCTGATCAGTGATCTCCTTGTTCGGCCTGTAAGTTTAGGTGGACGGCCTTGTCTTGGCAGGTTTACTGTGGTGCCATACTCTTTCCATTTCCGGATGATGGATTGAACAGTGCTCCGTGAGATGTTCAAAGCTTGGGAAATCTTTTTATAACCTAAGCCTGCTTTAAACTTCTCCAAAACCATATTCCTAACCTGTCTGGTGTGTTCTTTGGACTTCATGATGCTGTTTGCTCCCCAATATTCTCTTAACCAACATCTGAGGCCGTCACGGAGCAGCTGTATTTGTACTGAGATTAGATTACACACAGGTGGACCCTTTTGAGTCATTAGCAGTCATCAGGCAACTTCTGAATGCAATTGGTTGCACTCAGGGAAAAGGGGGCTGAATACTTTTGCACGTCGCACTTTTCAGTTTTTTATTTGTAAAAAATGTTTTGATTCATGTAAAATTTTGCTTCCACTTCACAATTGTATACCACTTTGTGTTGGTCTTTCACATTAAATTCCAGTGAAATATATTTATGTTTGTGGTTGTAATGTGACAAAATATGGAAAAGTTCAAGGGGTATGAATACTTTTGCAAACCACTGTAGTTATACTGAATTAATCACAGGTTGTAAAATCAATTGCACAGTCAGGTTTGGTCTTAGCTTCACTTGAACTAGCTAAGAGCTCACCAATCCCTTCAAAACAAATCTATATTTATCCAAAATGAAACCGTTCAAAGTATGGGGCACTGTTTGTAAAGCAGCTTGTCCTAAAAATAACAGCAAAAGTTTGTTACATTTAGCCCCAGTGTTTGAAAAAGTAGTGTGGATTTTTCTAAAGTCGGTTTAAATAGCTCAAATTAAAAGTTAAAGCTAAATGCCAAAAATAATCTGAATGTTTCATTGGAACAAAATATTTAGCTAACATGCTAATTCCCACTGTCTGTAATCATAAGTACCAAAATAAAAGCTCAACTGTGTTTATAGCATAAAAATAACATATTGTAAAGAAACGTACAGTGGGAATCAATACATTATCATGACTGTAAATATCTAGAAAAAACATAATTATAAAAACATGTTAGGAGACATACTCTTCTATAAACACAGTCAAGTTTTTATTTTGGTAATTCCAGTTACAGGCAGTGGGAATTAAATGTTTTGCTTTAGCAAAACGTTTAATTTTAAGTTGAGCTTTTATTTTGGTATTTATGGTTACAGACTGTGGGAATTAGCATTAGCTAAATATTTAGCAAAACATTTAATTTAAAAATTAGCATTTTAGTTGTCTGTATCTAAATGTTATTTTAACACAAACTGCTTTACAAACAGCGCCCCACAAGAGTCATGTACAGCAGGTAAGATATTAACACAGAAGCTCACTTTAAAGTATATAAACTATCCCTTTAACAGAGCATATCTGGATGAAGCTTTTGAGGGTCTTTGTTCCAACTTGAGTATAACACGGACCCCTTAAACTTATTTTAAGCCTAATTTCCCGCCGTGCAGGTGTAACCTGACCTGCTTTTCTCCAACACCCCTCCGGTCTCAAACCCATGAAACTATAGACGGGTCCTCACACGTCTTCCACGTCTCCCCCGACCTGCTCGTTTGTTACTGTTGTCATAGCAGCTCCTCCTCACCTCATGTCCAGCTCAGCCCCTTCATGTTGAAGCTCGTGTTACAACCAAACGTCAGCTTGCAGATTAGATTCCCGTCTGACTGTGATCCCCTAGTGACCACTTGTTGTCCTGCTTTTGTTTTTTTGTTTTCTTTTTAAAGATGCCCAATGAATTTGCTCTCTGTATTGACTAAACAATGTAATCTATTGG